ACCTGTTCAGAGGTTTTTCCTGTGGCAGCACATCACTCTCAGCCACTGGTTTCTGTTTCGGTGCTGGAGGTGCTGCCTGGCCCTGTCATGGCACATGAACATTCCCTATGAACAGGCAGAACTGGGGGGGCACTTGCCTCCGTCTCCCAGCTGCCCAAGGGAGACAGGACAAGATGCCACTTCTTCTCAGGATGGGGGCAGGGGCAGCATCCCTGCTGCAAGGTAGAGTGGGCAGGGAGTTTGAGTACTGTTTGTTCACATTCAGGCAGAAGAGCCAGGCTCAGCTAACGCTGTGTTGCTCATGATGTGAGGGGCTTGCAAGAGCCAGGGCAGTCCCAGGGACCCAAGCCTCGCTGCGTCCTTGTCACACTCTGCAAAGCAGCAAGAGCAGCCAGCACACCGGCTGGAAACACCCCTCATTCCTCCCCCCTCCCCAGCAGGGGAGATCAAGGGCTCAGCCTCTGGAGGGCTGGATCAGACAAGGGAGGTTTTTCCCATGTCCTCTGTGCTGCTATGTCCCTCTTGGGCTCTATGGATCAGGGAGGGGGAAAGGGCAGAGGGAGGTTGAACTCAGGAAGTGTTGACCCACAGTTCTGTAACCCCAAAAGGTTCTTCAACAGACAGCACACTGAGAAGCCTAATTTGGATGTTCAGTACTATCCCTGCAAGGGTCCCAGGCCCATTGCAGAAGGAGGCAAGGACACCTGCCCTTTTCTCTTCAGCCTTGCGGACAGGCAGAGCTCCAGGGACATATAAACAAGAAACAAGGAGACAGATTCCATTCCAAATACCCTATGCAGGTGGCTGAGCAGTGTCACAAACCTTCTTGATAGGAAGCAGAGCATCTACAGAGGGATTTGGGGTTTAGAGTGATTGTGAATCTCTTGAAACCTTTGATTTCCCGTATGATTCCTAAAATCTTCCCAGATTTTGTCCCTAAGCCTGCCTGGCTTTAGGAAGGATCCCAGTAGATCCCGAGGAGAAGGTTTATGCTGGAGCTGTGAGAAATCTGTTCCTTATAGCCATAGCAGTACTTTTTGGGAAGGGATATTTCCCACCAGCCAGCACAGGGGTGCTGGGAAGGAGTGCTGGGATGAGGTGCTGAATGGGCTTTGGGGCTTGGCTCCAGCCAAGGCATTCTACTGGACCATCTGAATGTGGGGCAGGTGTCAGGCTGTGCCGAGACGTTCCCAAGGTGTTGGGTGCATCCTGTCAGAGGTTTGTCCTGAGGTAACTGGGTCTGCTCAGTAAACACCTCACAGCTTCTCTGATCGACAAGCCTTTGGGTTTCCGGTGTGCACGAGCACAAGGTGAACTTTCGGGGGATATTTTCTGCTACACGCGGTTTTGCAAGTGTGTGCGTGAGTCACTTCACCTACCCCTGACACCAGAAGAACCACTCACACGAGTCCAGTCACTCATGTGTGCACAAGCCCTCACAGGCCACTGCCAACCTTCTGTGCTCCTGGAGCACCAGCATTGACCTGTCCTCTGCAGGGATCCCAGGGATCTCAGCTGATCCGAGCTGATCTCAGCCAAAGCCAGCCCTCCAGGTGCGGGATGGGAGCAAACGGCACTGGAAATCGAGCTGTCTGACTGAGATGAAGACATAATTCTTAAATCGCTCATTTGATATATTTTCTGGTTTATTTGTTTAATAAAAGGACTTAGCCGGAGACCCAGGCTCCTGGGGTTTTCATTTCTCTGCAGAGAAGATAAGAAAAGCGCATTTCCTTATCCAGTGAGTCATTTTTTCTGCTCTTTAATTATGCATTTGTGCGATTATCAAGCGTATTCAGCTCTGAGATGCAAACAGCTCAAACTACTCACCAAGCTTTAACTTTTGCTATTCCAAAAATGATCAACCACAGTTACGCAGTTATGAAGGGTAGGGGAGGCAAAGACCGGGGAGATGAAAAAGGGGAGAGCTGATGCCCAGAACCTGGTCCATGCTGGCAAGCAGGCCCACGTGTGAGTGCTGCTGGGGTAGTCAGGACTGGTTTTCTCCTTGAGTAAGCATTATCATGTAAATTCAAACATATCTTCTTTGCCCAGGAGGAGGTGGACAAGCTGGGACGAGGGCAGGGAAGATCTGTAGAGCATGATAAAGAGGGATAAAAAAATGGGGGGAATAGGGTAATGTCAGTGGCAGCAATGAGGCTGTAACATCCTTCCATGTAACAGGACTTGGGAGTGCTTCATTCACAGGAGGGCATGACGGCTGCTATCCCCAGGCTCCTCTCCAGGCATTTGAAACTTCAAGTTTTCTTTCCATGTACTGAAATGGGATCTGTTGGCTCCTCATCTGTAATGTAAATCTCACCTGTCCATGTTGAAAGCACTGTGTAGGTTACTTGGTTTGGGCTTTTCCCAGCATGCATATTTGACTGGAGGGCTTGCAGAGTTAATCTCTAAGTGTGGTACAGGAGATGCTGGGAACCATTTCCCACCCCACACTTTAAGCCAAGCAGGGAGGAGAGACAGGAGGAAGAGGGGCAGGGTGACAGTCCTGCAGTGGGACCCACAGAAATAGGGGCTGGGGGTCCCTGAGAGATGATCAACATGCCGGAAGTATAGTGGGGGCATTTGAGAGGTGAGAAAAATGGGAATGATGGAGGAGCATACCTCTGGGAAAAGGAGACTAGCAGGTGGAAACACCCCAGGACAAGAGGAACAGTCAAGTCTTTGGAGCAGGGAGATGGTTTGGAGATAGGTGTCCTGACAGAGCACTGGATGTTTTGTGGGGATCCTCTGCCTATGTGCTTGTCCTCAGCCCCACCAGCCCACAAGACAAGGTATTTTCTTGGCCCTAGAGTCTACACTTGCACTTCTGAGAGCTGCCTACTGAGGATTCCAGGTGCCCTCTCCTTGCCAGGTCTGTCCCCTGTGGAGCTCAGATGTGGACTGGAGTGAGCCTTGTTTTTTTCCCCCTGCTGTGGGTCATAGCACTGCATCACAGCTTTCTATCCCTTCCTGCTGCCCTGCTTCTGGACACTTTCTCCAGCTCCCATGCCTGCACCCCAGCCCTGGTCCTCACCTGGGGTGTACAAGAGGCAGAGGGTTAACGAAAGTGAGATATGGAGAGATGTCCTGCTGTTTGAGCCAGCTCCCCCAGCAGGTACGGGCAGGGCGAGCGCAGCCTGCTCACGGCATCGAGTCAGAGGGTGCTGAGCTGTCTGTGCCATTTGTGGCTCAGGGCTGCGCTGAGGGAGGGAAGTGCTTGGCATGCCTCCACTCAACTGGGGAGTTTTATTTTGACTAAGATGGAGCAGGAATAACTGAGCCACAGGCACAAGAATGGCCGGCCTCTCACAGTTCCTCAGTGCAGTTCCTCTGGCAGCCATTCCTGCTGGCATGGCACAGTGCTGAGGGAACAAGTGCCTGGGCACGCTGGCTGGAAGTGGAAATGAAATCATGGCAGGTGTGGAACTGGTGAGCACTGACCAGTTTTTGTTTGGGACTTTGGCTTGCCTGGAGCCCTGCAGCGGCCACGGTGGGGCTGAGATTGTGCTGGGGCAGTTTTGACATTGCTGAGATGCAAACTATCCTCTGGGAATGCTGCCAGCAGGGAGGGAGATATGCTGTAGGGCAGCTCCTCCCCTGCAGGGCATGGGGTACCAAAGAACTGCACTTGGACCAAGATCTAGCATGGGGGGCTGGTGACTGCACTCTACTCAGGACTTCAGGAGATGGGATATGGAGCCTGTGGGCTCAGCTTGCCCAACAGTGACTGGCGAGGGGCAGGCACATTCAGGGACCACGTCCTCAGGCCTATCTCAGAGGATCTCAGCTGCCCAGTGGGGCACCTGGTACTCTGTCACCTTGACCCAGAGCACCCTTTGGAGTTTTTCCTCCTCCCCTCTCAGGCTTGATCCAGGACAGTGGGCAGTAGAGGCCCCACTAGAAGGAGTCCAGATGCTGTAGCTGCTGGAAAGACATGACTTCAGCAGTAAAGCCGTATTAGGGATCTCCTGGGTAGGGCAGGTCACTAGTGTTGCTTCCCTCAACTATGGCTGGCCCCTTTCTTTCCTATGGAGTGAAGAAAAAAAGGATGTGACTTTTGCTCAGTAGGAATGGAAGAGATCCACCTACAGCACTGAAATCCACCTCTTCAGGTCTCAAGCATCAGGCTTTGATGTGTGGGTACTGGTGGCAGAACATTTCTCCTGCTCTTGATCAGGAATGCCTAAGAATATTAAAGGATTTTTTTAGTCCCATCCAATGGTTTGAGGACCAGGCTTTCTTGGCGTGACTTGCTTTGACCATGCCCTGCACATTTACTGAGCAGAACCAGATCTGAACCCCGGAGAATGAGACATGGTGCTGAGGAGCCACAGGTCTAGGTCTGTGTTGGAGAGGATGAAGAGAGCAAGGTGATGGAGAGCACTGTCACTAGGGGTGGAGAACATACAACAGTTGGCCTGCTTGCAGAGCAGTCACTGGTAGGATGTCTCCTTGAGGCAGTGGGAGTGCCCTCAGTGCCCTCTCACTCTTTTCTCCTCTTGTCCTTTGCATTTTCAATCCAAGCCAGATCTATGCCCCTGGGATGGAGTCTTGTAAAGATCTGTGCACAGGAAAGTCTCCTGTAGACACTGGAGGGAGCTTTCCAGTGTAAGCAAAGGGGGATGCAGGCTGGGGGACATGCTTGGGCTGGGGGCAACATTCAGGTGGGCTGGGGAGGAGTGAGGATCAAGGAGGTTAGGCTGGGACACAATACCGCTGGGTACGAGGTGCTGCACGGCTGAGGCACAAGAGGAGCTGCAGGGATTTCGGAAGCATATTTTGGGGGAGAGGGGTAGTTTGAGGGCACATTGCAAAGGCAGGCAGGGTAGGGCTTGGTCGCTTGCTCTCCTCCTCCTTGGTGAAGATCCGCCCCAGGCCAAGCACAGCGATTGTGAGCCCCAAGGGAGACGACGCAGCTTGACAGACTGTATCTCCCTCTGCCACGGGGCCTGGGGCGCTGCGATTTCACACTCCGGCGGCCCCGTCACTGCTACGCCATGCGAGAGCTGGGCTCTCACTCCCACTCTGCCATGTCCTCATCAGGAAAAGCTGCCATTGCCCCCTCCTGCCTCTCCTTCGAGTGCTTCGACACCCTGACCAAGTCGTGCATCAAGTGCTCCGACCTGTTCAAGGACAACACAAGTAAGAGGATAAGGGCAGCTGCAATCTGAGCTCCCCAGGGCTGGATGGTGGTGGGCCAAGGGGGGCTGGGGACACCCCAGGGATAGGCAGGTGGAAGGCACCTTCTCCTGAGGATGGCTATGGATGTTGCAATGGAGAACGGAGCACTGCCTTCACCTAAAGCAGGGGGGAAGAAGGCAGCCAGTTCCAGTGGGAGGAACATGGGGTGTAGGGAGAAACCAGATGATCCACCCTAAAGTGGATCAACCTGCCCCAGAGGTGACTGTGGGAAAAGCAGGAAACTCTTGTCCCCTACCACTCAGGGACAGGGAGTGGGATAAGGGTCTCAACAAGCAGGGGGATATTTTGTTGCTGGTGGCAGGTGGGTCACAGTTAAGTGCCACAGTTCTTCTCTGCCACCGCAGCCCCCAGGCCAGCCAGCCAGGTGAAAAATGTTGCTGCCCTCCTTCCTCCTTCAGCTCTCCCCCTCCTGACACTACCAGCATCTCACCCCACAGCAGAACCTACCCTGGCACCCACCCTGACCAGCACCTTCCTGATCTTTGGAGTCCCGCTGCTGGTGGGGCTCATCCTGGTTCTGGCTGCCTTCTGTGGCTTCCTGGCCTGCAAGGTGGGAAAGCAGAGGAGAAGGATGAAGGTGGAAGATGAAGAAGACAAAGGTAGGAGACCTCTTCCTCTCCCTCTCACAACACTCTGAGGACCCTGGGGTAGATGGGATCAGTTACTGCTGGATCCCCTGAGGCACATCCCTGTCCAGGCTAGCTCCTCCACCTCAGCATCAGCTCTGCAGGCATCCCACGGCATTTTGGGGCATCTCAGTCACTGTCTGAGTGACAGTGGCCTGCATTCCCTAGGAACCTATGCCTGTACCTGACTGCCAGTGCAACCCTTTTGAGCCATCCCTCCCTTTGCTGGGTCTCCCTGTGCCTTTATTTGCTTAAAGCATGTCCTGGTACTATCCCCTCTCCACAGGGGACACATATGGAGCTTTGTGAGCCCTCTCCCCTGGTAGCCAGAAGATCATGGATGGAGTGGGAGTAGTGGGGGCAGTGGTGATGGCTCCAGAGGCAGCCTCTCCATGTGGCACTGCAATGGGGGGTCCTACATGGACGCCCAGCTTGCTTCTCGTGCTTGGGATGCCCAGCATCCTCCAGCACACATCCCAAAGACCGCAGTGGGATGTCAGGGCCAGCCCCATTGACAGGACACTGCAGCACTGCACAGAGTTATCTGGTGCATCAAAATTAGGGCTGAGGTTCAAGGGATGGGGCTGAGCCTTTCCTAGCAGGGTACTTCCAGAAGAGTAAGGCCACAGTGCTCCATGACTGCCCATTTTGTTGGGGCAGCTCTTTTCTCCCTTGGAGGCCTCTGCACTGGCACTGATTCAGCCTTGAACAATCTTCTCAGAAGTGGTCTTGCCTGGCTTCATTCCTCCCCATTCCCAGGCAGGGATTATGGTTCCACAGGATCCCCAAGAGGGGCTGCCACATAGGGATGCCGGCACTCACCACTGCCCCACAACCCAGGTGGATGTCCACAGTGGGGCAGCTGGTCCTTGTGCCCTGGCTTGCCTGCACACTTCTGGCAGTGCCGGATGGTGACTCAGACCGGGGGGACATTACCCAGGGCCTTTCTGCTCTGCGACAGCCCATGACGCACATGCCTAGGAAAAATACCAAAAGCGAAAGAGAAGGGAGAAATCCAGTGGTGAGAGAGATCTGGCCCTTATGGAGAGTGTTGGAGGCACTACTCAGTCTCCTGTTGCATGCCCTGGTTCACATCCCCATTGTCCCCCAAGGCTGCACCACAGCAAGCCCAGTGCTGCGGCACTGGATGTGTGGAAAGCAGCAGGAGGCCTGGGGCTGGAGGCACACGGCTGCGTTCAAAGTGTGTAAACAAGTCTATTTTTAAATGGGAGGCACTCGGGGAGGGCAAGCTGCCACGGGCTGGGCTCTTCTGCTGCCGGCAGGGTTGAGCGAGAGGACTCAAAGTGGAAGTGCAAGTTTCAGCCTTTCCCTCTTGTCTTTTGTTGGGGGAAAGTCCATCGGTTGTAAGCAGGAACAATTCTACAGCAGGAGAGGTGTGAGGACCTTGCAGACTCCTCCTGTTCCAGATCCATCTCCTCCCCTATGGACAGGACCATCTCCCTGGGACCTTCCTGACCCCACTCCATGAGCCCAGTAACCCCCTTTTCTTGTCCCTTCCCAGAAAATGTAGACATGACCAGCCCCCTGCCCAGCCAGGACCCTGCTGTGCCAGAGGGACATGGAGCCCTGAGCCCAGCCCCATGCCTGCATCTTGTTGGGAGCCAGAAGATGCCGGGGCCACCCAGGAAAGCCAGGGCAAAGCAGAGGCCATGCTGCCAGGGCGATGCTGATGGTGACATTGTTCTGCTCTCCACTGTGTACCCCCGGCCTGAGGAATGCAACCACAGCTTCCCACTGCCTGCCACTGAGCTGGGGGCCACAGCACTGGTCACCACCAAAACCACCCAGAACTGCGCCAGAGAGGAGAGAGTCTGAGGGCAAGGAGAATGGGGCTGGAGTGCTCTGGCCAATCCCTGTGGACACTGACAGCCTGTTCCTGGAATGAGTGAAGCTTTCCATGGGTATGAGCTCTGTGAGAACCAGGTTTTGCCTTTAGCAAGATCAGCCTTTTAAGACGACTGTCCTTTTTGTGCTGAGTCCCAAGTTACACCTGTAAATGCTGGAGGAAGCCAAAGTGGATCATGCTGAGTTACAATGAACTGTTGACAGCTGCCATGGCTGAACCATTGGGAGGAGGCAGAGGAGACGCAATGGGGAGGATGGAGCGTGGCAGGGACTGCTGGGCCATTTGCAAGGCAGCCCTTGTGCCTGGACAGGTCTCCTGCTGGATGGGCAGTTGCTGGGAACATGGGGCTGGAACACCAGAAACTGCAGAGGGAAAGGAAGCAGGGAGTTACTTTAGGACCAAATCCTACACAGGAGTAGCTCAATTTTTCCTGCTGACTTCAATGAAAGGAGACTTGAAGCCATAAGGAGCAAGGCACACCCAGCAGCTTCTCCATTTACAGTCTTGCCTGCTCTGTTTTCAGCAGTCTGTGACACCCAGCAATCTTTCCACCCTCTGGGCTATGTCACAGTGGCAGGCCCAGCACTCATGAGAACCCCCTCCAAGGTCGGGTACCCTGGGATAGGAAAACAGTTTGTCTTCCCAAGCAGTGAAAAGGGGAAAAAAATCTGTTCTTGCTCTGACCTACAATCCCTGAATTTAGGGAGGACCAGGGGCAGGCAGTGGAGACAGCTAGTCCAGAGGAGCTCCCTCAATCTGTCATTACAGCCCCAGACAACCGTCACTTCAGCTCACTGTCGCTGCAGAAATACCGTGTGTCACTTGGGATGGATGCTTCCACACGGCACAAAAGCAGTCAGGCAGTGATGTGAGCGTAGGCAGAGTGACTTAATTTACGAGAGTGTCCTCAAGGCTTTGCCTGTGTGCAAGAGCTGGCCAGCGATGTTGATCCCAGGCATTTCCCCGTAAATGGGTTTCTTCACCTGCCTGTAAGTGGCTTTACTGCACAGGAAGGGCTCTCTTTGGGAAATTAACTCCTTAGTGTGGGATTGCTGATTCCGAGTAACTACAGCAGCTGATGCCCCCGGCTGAACAGAGACTCTGGGTTGGGCGAGAAGCCCCTGGAGAAGGTGATTAGTCACTTAGAAGTGCTTTGAGGGATTATTTACATGAAGCACCATCTCTGGGCCTGCTCTTCCTTAGATGAGGTGGCTTCCTTGTCTGAGAGGCTTTGGACACTGAACAGAGCTGGCCAAGCAAGGTGTGGGGGCACTGACACCAGGCACTAATGGGCCACCAAGTGCCATGTTCCCAGTAGGGTCGGCTGGAGGCACTGTGTGGAGGGGATGTCCCTCTGATGATGGGAGCGTGATTCCCTGCCCAAACCTGAGTTCTCTGGGGCTGCAGGACAGATGCTATTGTTGAAGGGTGACAACCTCTCTTCTCCCCTGTCTGTGGCACTGCAGCCAGACTTATGGCATCTGTCCCATAAGGGCAGCTACAGGCACTGCCACAGGTGCCAAGGCCAAAATTCCTCACCACAATTCCTCTCCCAGACCTTAACACACTGACAGAGATGAACCTTCATCTGACTGAGGCTCTGCATGATCCAGGATGGGATGGATCCCCATCTCAGCCTTGGGGCTGAGGAGGGTGGAAGAGGTGGTCCACGTGCCCAGTGACTGTCTCCTGGGACTCCAGACACCTGTGGCAGAAACTGTGGAGGCTCAAGGGCTGGTGTCCCAGTTACCCACAACAGCCATGCTGCCCTTTGCAGAGGGGGTATTGCCATGGCATGAATCAGACTTCTCCTCATCCTCGGCACCCAACCCTGTGGAGTAACTTCAAACAACCTTTGTGTATCTGGAGTGGGGAAAAGAGCCGAAGCCAGGGCGGGGGATGTTCTGTCACTAGAAGGACTACTTCTGGGAGACAGAGCAACCTGTTTCAGGGGAGATGGGGGCAATACAAGAATGGAGAAGAACTGTCAGGAGCCATCTCCACTTCCCTCCCAGTGACAGCAGCAGCCCAGCCCTGTGGATGCATTACCCATCCCAGATGATCTGGGAATTTGAAAAAGAAACACCCATACAAATCCTATTGAAAAAGCCCCTCTTTCTGCTCAGGTAAGGACTTCTGCTCTCAATTCTGCTGGAGCTTAAGCCAGGCATCTTCCTATACAGGATGCCACTGGCATTTGCAGCGTGCAGAGTGGCAATTGGATCCACACTGTATTCTTCAACCAGTGAGTGCCCCTTGGATCTCCTCTCTGTTATGGCATGTGGGGTGTCTTCCCTGCATCATGTCTGCCCGACTGCCAGCTGTGGTGGGGCAGTGCTCCCCTTCTGCCCAATCAGCCCAGGAGGGATTTGTAACCTGCCCTGTGTGCTTCTCCATCCTTATCTACAGGGCAAAAGGTTGTCTATCTTGTTTGCATGGAGAGCCAAGGGAATACAGATGAAAAATATGGCAGTAAAAATTAAAGAATAAAATATGACAGTAAAAATTAAAGAATAAAGTGAACCCACTGTCAATGCATGGTCAGAGGTCTGAGGTCTTTCCTGGCTTTAGGGGTCTCCAGCATGATGGTCCTTGGGGTACAGCAGGGCTTTGAGCCAGGGAGCCTCCCCTGGCAGTGGCTTTATCAACACATTCCCCATACATGGCTACTGGCAAGGCCAGGAACCAGCCAAGCTTGGCCACCTGCATCTCCCCACAGTCATGCCAGGAACTGGCCATTATGACAAAGACTGGGAAAAGTCTTTTTGGGGGGGGAATGGGGTGGGGATGTTGCCTGTCTTTGACTTTCCACAGCAGTTTCTCACTTCCCCCTGTGAGGCAGGAACTGTGCTTCCTCCTCAGCCTGGCACCCACCCCACTGCCCACACAACTGCCTAGAAAGGCTGGTGAAGATGGGCTTCACTTGGCTGCAGGGGCATAGGGTTTCAGAGAGAGCCATGGGAAAGTCTGAGGAAACCCCTGGGCAAGAGAAAGCAGTTCAGGCTAAAACCCTCCTCACTGCAAAATCACCTTAGTATCTCCCTAGCCATTTCAAATCCACTGACCCTGTTTTGGAGGAGGTCATGAGCATATTTGAGCTCCTGCAAGTCTCACCATAAATGCTGGTGGTAAAGGAAAGAAGCTTTGGTGCCTCTGTGTATGTGGGTTTGTTTTCGTCCATGGTCCTAGAGGCAGGAGACAGCTGGCCAACCAGTGCACGGCAGTGTGAGGAGAGGGAACACCTGGACAAGGGTCTTCTGCGTCCACCAGTCATGTCTGCCAAACCCTTCTCAATCCCATGGGGGGGCTTTCCTCCCCCACTTTCTCCTCTCCACTCCCATTACTGGTTCACCCACCAGTTTAGTGTCCTGATAGTTCACCCACAGGTCCAACTACTCCAGCCTAAAGCACACCCCGCAGGCCCCCACAAACCCAGCTTGTCCCTCCATGGGCAGGGCCTTGACAGCAGGGAGGGCAGGCAGGGCAAATGGGCACCATTTCATCCCATCCATGACGTAATGCCCCGATGGCAAACGTCCAACAGGGTCCGTCTGTCTCTGGGTGCAGCCCTGATCCCCACACTTGCTGCAAGGACGGGGCTGTGTTGCCACCCCATCGTCTGCTTGCCGAACATGGATCCCAACCCATCCTAAAGGAACCTTTCCCATCGCTCACTTCCCAGTGCCAGGCATGGTATGGCGACACGTGGGTGTCCCTGCAGCGCTCGGGGAACACCCGTGGGAGGAGAAGAGAGGTCAGCAGTCCGGGGTCGCCTGCCACGAGGTGGCACTGACAGCACACACCGCCCTGCGCGGCTGCAGCGCCGCGGGGAGGGCACGGCAGGGCCAGTGCCCCAGGGCAGCCAGGGACACCAGGGAGAGCCAGGCAGGCTTGAGGCCAGCCCCACTGGGCCAGACGGAAGGGTGGCAGCTGGGTCTGACTCTGTCCGACCCCACAGCCCATCACCATGGCCTCTGGGCTGCCCAGGAGAAATGGTGATTGGTGGCTGGACAGCTGTGGGGCAACCAGAGGCACAGAGAGCTGCTGCTTCATCCCCCGACAGCACTGAGCACCTCGGCCATCATCCTGCTCCCCTGAGCAGCCCATTCCCAGTGGTGTCAGGCTTCTCTGAGCATTCTACAGGACATGGACCTGCCAGCCAGTACCTCTTTCTCCATCCCCTCCCTGTCAGCCTCTGCCAAAAAGGAAAATATTGTGCTACCCACCAAGCTCCCCAGGTGGAAAAGGCCAGGGCTGGAGAGAAGGGGCTGGCCAGCTCCCTGTGCAATGCTGTCAGGGGACCACAGCCTTCCTGATGCTGCTCATCAGCATCCCTCCCTAATTGCTACCCAGTGCCTAATGACAGTAATTAGGAAGAACGAAGCTGCCTGGGGACTGGAAGCGCTGACAGAGTTGGGGGAGACAGATGGTGTTCGCACTTAAAGAAAGATTGGAAAAAAAATTTCTACTCAGCTTCGATCAGCCTCCTCTTCCTTTGCTTAGTGTCAGGATCACTTTGGTCCATAGGCACATCACGGAGAGGCTGAGATGTTGCAGTGGTCATTTTCAAACACAATATCTGTGCACACACACACACACACACACACACACCCTGCAGAATATCCGGTATTTTAGAGTACCGAGGGAGCTGTGGGAAGGGGCACAGAGCCTGCTTGGGTAGCTGGCACGGAGGGGGTTTCCTCACTGCCTTTGTGGGCTGATGCTTTCCCCTGGGGCCACCCCCACAGCTCCCGGCTTTGCTGGCTGTGATCTGTGAGCAGCTTCCCAGGGGTATAAAGTGAGGGAACAGCCCAAAACCACCTGAGTGGCTGTGGTGAGCAGACAGAAGCTCTCCTGGCAGAAAGAGCTGGCCAAGGGACAGCCCCATATTTTCCCCATCACTGTGAAGACACCACACTGGGTTTTCCAGGGAACACCCAAAACTGGACCTCAGCAACCAGAGCAGTTGGACAGGGACTGCAACGCACTCAGCTTTACCTGCCTGGAGAAACCCCACCTGCAGAAAACCCCCTCCAAATCCTTTCATGCAGCCCCTTTCACCCTAGCCCTGGGGTGATGCCACCTGTCTCCAGAGCTACCTGCCAGACTGCAGGTGCACCTGGGCAGAGAGACGATACTGGGGTGTGGGGAAACCCCCTTCCTGCCCCTTAGCAGCTGTCCCAGATGCTCTCAGGATGCCTGGGCCTTCGTCCCCCACAGCACCCTGGGGATGCTAGGTAGGGATGATGCTCAACCTCATGGAGGAGGAGGCTCAGCCCTGCACTATGGCATCAGCCCCACTCAGAGGATGCTCCAAGAAAAGGCCCACAGCAGACATAGGGCAAA